TGGCTTCTTGACCAGTGGGATTGCGTTTAACCCGACAACGATTCCTTAAGTCCAATCTTTGTGCATTGCTCTATTTTTCTACAACAATCTAGTTGGTGAAACAAGCATCTGCCCGAACGATCCCACTCTATTTCTCATAGTTAAAATAATTTATTCCTTGTCAAAATTCTATCTGCTGCTCATGCAATTTTATTAAAACCTAAAAAACCAAAATTTGTTAATTATTTCTCATCATAAAAATCACTAATATTTCTCTTTTTTTATTTTATACCTAGTAATCTGAATTCTGTGTTCCACTGAGAAATTTTCTATTACAATCTTAGTAATATCGCACCCGATCAGATAGAAGACCAACGGCAGTGTTGGCAACTTTTATTTTGTAAAGTAAGGCCTTGATAATCAGTGAGCTTAATAATAAATTGTGGTGTAAGCTGTGAAACGAAGACAAGGGATACGAGAGGCTGATAAGACGATGGCATATTAGAAAGGTTTGGAGGAAAGACGGACCATTTGCCACTTTTGTAAACTATTCTTTGGCAGAACTGAAGAATGTTTTAAAAAGGTATGAGAAGTCAATTTGGATCATGGAAATATACTGTTGAGCTAGCAATGTAATGAACTCGTTTTTAGTGATCTCAGAGTTACCTGGGGCCCAAAAAAACTGAACTACTTAAATAGAACAGAAAATACAAGAAAAGAAAAATCGTTTAAGAAGGGAAGATATTTTAGAGCTGAATGCAGAGGTGGATTTAGCTTTTTTTTTATTAACTATATCAGAAAGGAACTTCATTTTCTTAAAATGCTTTTTTCCAAACGGTAGAAAATTAAATATCATACCTATTGATTTTTTAGTAGTAGAACTGCTCCCTCATTTTGGTAGCAGCTAATCGCACAATAGATTTCCAAGCATAATTAAAACCTTAAATAAATAATAAAAATAGTGTGAAAACAATTTCGCAGACAATTTAACATAGTTCAGTATAATGTAAACATGTAAAAATATAAAAAAACAAAAAAACTTTTGTAAATAATTTAACACTGCAAAATCATACAAAACGTATTTCGATTTTACTGTTTCGTTAAACATAAAATGCATATTTATACAAGTCACTTCAACAAATGATCCATCGCTTCTATAATAACTGTACTGAATGTAATACTTGCCGACGTCTTCGATAGTAAGTACAATTTTTATACATTTTTTTATCAGTTACAAATTACTGTTTTTTGTTTCCTTGTAATTGCGCACGATACATTTTTAACCGCTAGTTAATTCAGAATCGCCAGTTTTTTTTAACATGGATGTTTTTTTGGGGGGGGGGGGGTCATTCTGAAATTTGCGAAATTTGTATTACGATTTCTCATCGAGATAAAGATTTATTTATTGAACAATAAATATGGGTACAGGGGTTCTATAATATATAATATATTCTATTATTATTATAATATATTCTATATTATATATTATATTAATTATATTAAGTTACTGCTAAAAAATATTTTTTTTTAATTTTTGTGGCCATAATATAATATAAGCATCTTACTGAAATTTTAAATATAAATCAAATAATTGTACCTCATAAAAAAATCGTTATAGTTATACCTACCCGTGATGCTAAACCAGTCCATGATTCAATGTTTTTCCGTGGAGCGTAGAAAACAAAAATAGGTTTTTGGGCTGGGGGTCATTCTGAAATTCGTGTTATGATTTCGTGCAATGGACATAAATATGTAATAGACATAAAGACCGTCATCGACATAAAGATCGAGATTATATATTGAACAATAAATATGGGCTTTTTAAAGTTATAAGAGTTTTAAAGTTAGAATGGGAGGGTAAATGGAGTTGGGAAATGCACTCAGATAAAAATAATACTACACTCCACCTTTCCTCCTGCCCTAAACTTGAAACTTCATTAACTTGAATTAATATTAATAACCGATACTGGTTATCAACCAGTCAACATTTTTAGCACATTATTCTCAATTTAAAAAGTTAATAAAATATATACGTTACCTTTTAAGTTTCAAAAGTTGCTATCAAAAAACCAAGTTGGGAGGTGGTTCAAAACAAAACAAATTGTAAAAAATTGAGATCACATTGTATAACAACAATATGAAAAAAAAATATTTTAATTTCTTATTAAACCCTATGAGATATTGAGTGGTTTATGATAAAATAATCACCCTGTATATGCTTCGTTCTTACTAAGTCCCGATCCCACCGTGTTGGCTTGTGTTATTTTAGTTTTGTTAACTCTGTGCGAGTTTTAGACGGTATTTTACAACGACCTATACCTTTTTTTTGTTTCGATATTCATTTTTGATACACAGCTGCAATGATATTCATATAATTTCAACATACGAAGTGAATTTAACGTAGTACATTAATTTTCTTTATATTTTTTCCATTCTGTGATTTATAACATAACAATTTAAACTGTGTATATTTTTAACATTCATTACATTTTTTATGTGGAATAAGTTTAAGGCTATAGCTGTTTACATAGAAATGGATCTGTATTTTTTTTTCAAATTTAGAGTCAACCAAAGTTTAAAACTGATAACTCCTAGAGGATTTTTTATTTTTCAGGATTTTAAGGGTGATAGAGTGAACTTTTTCATTACCTATTTAGCTGAATAATAAATAATAACTCATTTTAAATAAAACAATGTACTCTTCATTTTATGGTTTTCCTATTAATAGAATCAAATTTTAATTTCAATTTTCCTCGTATATTTTAATAAAATTTAAATAACAAATAATATACTATACTATTTATAATACTTTAATGTTTAATGTAATTTTATATTTTAAATATTTATGACTTAAATTAAAGCACATTTTTGATCTTTATTATTATAGGAAATATTTTTAAATATTAAGAAGTTAATTGTAATTTTGTTGGAACTGTATTATTACATTTTAAAGTATTGTAAAATTCTTAATTTTTTATTAGGTTTCTGCGAAGTTATTTTTTTTGCTCCTTTATTTATAGGGACCTTATATTTTTTTTACAATAGAAAAGCCAGTACAGTGTGTTTGGGTCATAGTGGGGATGGGGAGGTTACAGGAATTATTATTTGGAAGTATCTGCATAAAGTGTCGATACCCTTAATTTTTTTTTTTTTACAAGGAAAATCATAATTGATTTTTTGTTTTTTAATTTGTCGTGATGCGTGTAGATCAAAAGCTCGACGGGAACACAACTGGTAAATAATTTCAGCATGTGTTTAAACAAAAAAATTAAATAAAAAGCAATTCTCATCAACATTTTCATACACAGTGTTCTTCAGTTAAATTTTTTCATCGTTTAGTGCTTTTGTGTGTTGTTTTTTAGGCGTTACGATAATGCATGAACAAACGTTGATTTCAATGGTTTTTTGGGTTGTTGTTTTTGGTTGTACACGCGTTGTGTCGGGCGATATGAGCGATTTACAAAAAAACCGAACTAGCTAACAAGTTAAACATGTTGGTGCGTCATTCTGGATGGCGGTATATGAACGTTAATATCGTGGTTCTTAATAATAATTGCCCAGTAATAATAGATCCCACATCCGTAATAACCGAAGCCGTATTGTCGATCCGGAACCCGATCGACAATTCCAACGTCGTGGAAAAATACATAGAGATCTGGAATATGCTCATGTGTAAGTACGCCGAGATTATTTATAACTACAGGTTTCGCATAGAACATTTAATAGGGGTTTGCCAAACTGAAGAAAAAACGGTCGCCTCTTGGTTTAAATGGTATTGCGATTGTTTCGATTTGGTGCTTATCAAACTCAACAGCATGTCCTCGAGGTTAAAATGCATGAGAGACGCGTTGACTTTAATTTACTCATTAGGTCAGCAGTTGGAACCTCAACTAAACGTATTGGTCGTCACACGAGAGAATTGACCGATTTTACTGAACCTATACAGCCGAGCATAAGGTTGAGATGGTCTACACGTGGTTTCGACGAGAACGGGATCGATCATGAATTAAAAACCATTAACGGATATCTCTTGGATATATACGAGAAGAACATACGTGGATTATTAACAAGTCTTTGCGTCACTCAGTCTTACAGAGAAAGATGGCCAGTGGATCCAAACGCAGAATATTCTTACAAAAAGAACAACCAACTGATACCACAGGAAATGACCAAGCTGGAATATGCAGGAAGCCAAATCGACGATGTTTCCAAATGTTTAGACGATGATATGACACGCAACTGGTTCAACAATTTAAGCTTTGCATACGACCGCACAGGAAATGTCGTTAAAGACAAGTAAATCACTGCAGTACAGTTAAAAAAGTTGATAATTTTCTTAGAAGTTTCAAAAATAATCTTAATAATTTAAGTAAGTTATACTATCAATCACTGACTTCCGCTATATTTAATATACTATCACTTTTCCGTTTCTCGCAGTTCCTATAAATTTTCCGCAATATACGTCCTCTTTGACTACCTGTTTATTTATGATAATGGTTTAATTTTCTTCGTTTGGGTCTGCTATTGGCAAGCTAATTATCGTTTCCGACCGTGGTATTAATACAAACCATTTATTGATATTTCATTTATCTATAACGACATTTTCTGGTGTCGGAGTAACCAGTATCTTGTTATTAAAAACGTCAAGAACAGCATAATTGTTTAATACAACTGATTAGCCTAAAATTCCATCCTGTGTAACAGGAAATTTGTTTTCCGCTACATGAAATCAGTGTCTACTTTATTATTATTAATCAAAACTGGAATTTTTATTAGTCCTATTGTTTCAGTAGTACCTTTTAAGTTAATTTTATTATTTTCATCTTGCGTTATATCAATAATCAAAGAGTTTTTTTTTACAATATTTACTTCACTGCCTGTTTCTACAAGTAATACAAAAATTATTTGTTATACTAGCAGGAGACGCACAAATTATATGATTTTTATTTATTGCTGAAGAGATGACTGTAAAACGTTGCCATTGTTCTCCGCCAAAATTTGGTTTATCAAACGTACTCCGCGAGTTGCGTTGGATACCTGGCCGTTTCCCGAAATGTCGTTGTTATTATGACAGTTGTTTCCATTATCTAAATTACCTTTTTTATAATAATCAGAAAAAGAGTGCCAATTTTTTTGACAAAACTCACAAGTTAATACGCGTAAATTATAATTCGTGTAATGAAAATATGTCGTCATGTTTAAAAAACAGAAACCAGCTGTGTAAGCTAACAAAGTTAAACTGCAAAAAATATTTTGACTTTACTGTTTCGGTCGAAATAAGTCCGTAAACACTAGGCAAGAGAGTCGCATCATTACAGAATAAGCTGATCAATTTCTTAAGAGTTTAATGATCTTAATTATTTAAGTAAGTAAAACTTTATTTGACCAAAAATTAGTCTTTTTATATTTACCGCTTTTATATATTTTTAAATGCAGAATATATTAGATTCGAATAATTAAATTGGAAATTATTTAAATAAATTGACATGAATATGATTATTATTCAAATAACGTTTTATTCAAATGATGCACAACTCTGCATGTAATACTGGCAAATTTTTAAATCAGTCTTTTTTTAAATGCGTAGTTTAGGTATGGAATAGTACTTTATTTTTTTTGTTTGAAATAGTTATTATGAAACCTGTTTATTTAAGAGCGTGGTATAAAAAATTACTCAGTACTACTTAAAAGTATAAAAGAATTTCTCATTATTTTAATTTTTAAGCGTTTATTTATTTATTTTTTTCCCAAAACCTAGCTATAAATAACTAATACTAGCTTTACATGTATTACTTTTTACAGATAAAAATGAAACTCTTTTGGTTTTTAGTATCATGTGTCATTGTAGATGTTTCAACAGATGAACTACTAAGTAACTATTCTATTTTCATACTTCTGTATTTGTTTTATATAACAAACTATAGAAATACAGTATTTGTAATTCTTATTTTTATTCGACGCTAACCTACTTGAAGAAGTAGAGAATTTTAAAAATATTTCTCTTTTTTTCAGGGGAATATAAAAAATCCGTCTCCATTACAAGTCAGTAAAATGTTTGTTTTATAAAAATAACGTTCTAAAATTTACAATTTTAATGATTTTTTAATTAATTTTGTAAATTATGTATTACAGCCAATCTCATATACGATGTTAGTAGAATGAATATCATTCGAAATCATGTGACGAGAAGTAAGATATTTAAATTTATTTCGGAATATATTATTGTTTTGTTATGTTTGTTTTACAGTCCAGTTATTTTTAAATTAAAAACTATAGTTTCTAAAAATAGTTCATAAAAATGCACGAGCTATAAAGAACCAAATTTCTAAGTACTAAAATATGTCAAATAACTTATATTCATATTTAGTAGTAGTATAGAGGTTTATATAATTCAATACACTTGAATTTATGCAGTGATTATATTATAACCTGATAGTAGGAGTAGTGGTAGGGTAAATTGTCATTACATAATAATTTATGGTGTAAATCAGTGCTTACTCTGATGACTTGTAAATTTATTTTGATTTTGTTTAAACATTTTTTTGTTTCATTTAGATGGATTGGAGTATGTAATTGAGAAAATTGTTGAGAACAGTTCTTTTACTTTAGGTAGTTATAACTAAATAATAATAAAAAAAAAATAAGTAGAAAAAAACATTTTATAATTATATAAAATTTGCAATTTAAATTCAACATCATAATGCAAATTTATAAGAGATATAAATTATATAATTTTCTCTGTTGCTGTCAATTTCGTTTAATAATTATATTTCATTCTATTGCCACAACTACTTCGATTGGCCATTATATTTTCATATGGTCTCTATTCTATTAAAAATAATCGTGCTAAGGAGATTTCTTCCACGTTACTAATACAAATGTTTTTCCTACCTTACAATTCTTCTTTTAGTTTATAATAGAATATAAAATGAAATCGATAAATATTAATATATGTAATGTTAATTTTAGAAATGATGAATAATATGTTCGCTGTACCGGGTAATATTTTTAAAGAATTAATTCTGTGCAGTTGTTTTATATACATTGAGTACCCAGCGTGTTTGTTTTATTTTCAGACTTTCATTACCTTAGAGACTGGAATAGTAACTACACATTTATATTCCTTATATACAATAGTTTAACACATCATAATATTCTATACATATTATGGAGGATTATTATAATATGCACACAATATACATACATTAATACATATTGATTTAAATCACAAGAAAAAAAATAATTAAAATTTATTTTACAGTTTGCAAGGATATCCAAGAAGCTTTAAGAAGACAAATGACTATTCACCTAAGTAAATATAAACATTTAACACTGTTACAATTTCCAACATCTTGTTCATCATATTATCGCTTTAAGTTTATTGAATAAGCCTCTGTTCACCATTCGAAATATAATTTATACATTAATTGAAACGTTGCTTTTAAAAAATAATTGTACGTAAATACTATATTTGGATTAATTAATTGATTTAATTATTCATAGCTTAAGATTGACTGTATGGTTAGTATATAAAAATTATTTTTATTAACTGTGTAAAAAATTAACACTTGAAATACTTGTTACAGGTTTTCGTTATGATGAAGTTCCAGACCCTAGTAATTACGATTTTATGATAATATTTTTAAAAAAAATGTCAACAATTTTTTTTAAAATCTTATTAATTAAAGCTACAATTCCATTCTTAAAACCTCAATCAAAGGAAAATCATTTATTATTTAAATAAAAATAAAAATATATATAATTTTGTTTGCATTAAGGTATATCTAATTAAAAATTAATCCATTAATGCAATCAGTCCTCTCTATAAATATTTTTTTATATGTTAAATATAAAAAAAAAAAAAAAATGTAGATCTCAAAATGTCTGATAAACAATTTTGACAAAATGTACGAAAAATTCAACATTTAATTAAAATATAAAATACTATTTAGAAAGTAGAACTACACATTATTCGAAAAACTTTCAAACATATTTTTTTAAGGTTGAGTGTTTTGGTATTTAGGATCTTTTGTACAAATGATAGTTGAGAGTAGTGAAGATGTAAAATATAGAATTAAGTGTAATTAGATCAAGCGGAGGGATTCGTCAGGTGTTTAATGTGACAAGAGAAATCCAATGAAACTTAACGATAAGTTTTACAAGTTTATTGAGACCGACTGTGTTGTATAGTCCTTACAGACCTAGGATTTATTTAAACGATTTATTTTGCAAGCCTATTAAACCATTGGATAACAAACCTTAATTTAGTGTAGTAGATATAAAAATGCATAAGGAGGAAACACGAAATTGAAAACCGTAAAAATAGTCATGCAAATAATTGTAGAAGGAAGGAGAGGAATTGGATAAACGAAAAAATTCGCACCCCGCCAACTATTTTTCGAATTGAGAATGTGGTGATGAAATAAAAACAGTTCGATTATGCTAAAATACTGTGATCATTTATTATTTTGTTTGTATACAAATTAGAAAAAACTTATTCTTAATGTATTTTATAGTAAAAGTATTATATATTTATGTTATTATATATATATATATATATAAACTAATTCATTTAATAAACTTGCAGATTTTGAAGCATATACTTTGGTGGAACTAGCAGCACAAAGAAGAAGTATTACTCTGGAACCTTTAAAACGTTTATGGAACAGGGCGATAGGTAAATATTAATATAGAGTCAATAGACATATAAATAATACTAATATATATAAAGAGTATATCGTAATAACGATATACTAGGATTGCAGAACATTTAGAATGAGGCCCAACCCCTTAGGGCTTAGCACAAATGCTTTTTATATTCTACAACTAGACTGCACGTGTTACTATACAAAGACAGTTTTGTTCCTACACCTCTTTTTCTAGACTATCTCCCGTGTATTTTACATCATATGGAAAAACTAAAGTATTATTGTAGGTACAGAATATCCGGTTACAAAAAATATTAATTATTATTCAAACATATATTTTGTGGACATATATCTATATATATATAAAAATGAATTGCAGTTTGTTTGTCCTTCATGCATTAGTACACCATTCATTTGATCGCCATGAAACTAAATGTTTGTAACCATAGTTGCTCAAAATAAACACTTGGTTTGTAACCATGGTAACCACGGTACTCGAGCAAATGGTAGTTGATGATTAAAGTAACAGGACGATTTTATATACCACAATTCTAGGCAAGCTTTTAACTTTTGGAACGGAATTTGGGACTAAGACTGGGACGGGGACCCTTGAGTAAGAGGAGTACATAATAACCGAAAAAAGTGTCACAAAAACGCTGTCACGCTGTTATCTGATAAGAGATTAAAGATGAGAGATGTGGGAATAAGTTAATGGGAATGTAGCTTATAGATAGGTTGTAGCTTATAAACAAATGTATTTATATTACTTTTACACCCAAATTTATTTATTTCACTGTATTTAATTTAAAGAACACACACACAAAACTTATCTTATGTGTATACAGCATTTGACTTGACTCTTTTATTTACATACAGGGTGTTTTTTATCATGGGCCACTCGATATCTCACTGGGTTTAATTAAAAACCCAGTTAGATATAAAAAAAAATCACCCCGTATAGTTCTTTATAACATTATGATTTAAATTATTTTTCTGGGCTTGTGAGATGCGTTTTAACGTCAGTTCATAACAATACATCAAGGATACAATTAATTATACATTTCAACAATTATCACAATATGTGATAAATAGAATATACATTTGTACAATCTTAATATATAGTCAAAACTAACACATACTTCCTTATAATGAAAAAAGCTGCTCAAAAATGACACCATGCAATTTCTATTGTAATTTTATTTTCAAGTAACGTAGTCATGTGTTAATTAATTTTTTAGCTGGAAATGTATTTAGTATAGGTTGGACGTGTCGTTTCATAGCATTGTTCATGAGTACAAAATACCCTCAATTTTTCACACAAGATGTTGTTGAGTCTGGGACTTTGTGTACCATATCTAGTAGGTGGTTGGGAAGCACAAGATACAGAAAATTTGAGGGCAGATGGTGGCGAGTCTTAGGCAATGACGTTGACACTTGTGTAGAACTCGTTCCAGAACCAGTGTAACACTTTTACAATGATTATGTACTATTTTTGTTATATTTAAAAAATATTTTTATTTTGAACTTATATCCAAGTTGTTGATTTACAATTTTATATAATTAATTGTATGTAACAGTTTTACTCACTATTATAATAACATTATATATTGCTTGTGTGTTTATTTAAACAGTTACTTAATATTATTACCATATATTACAGATCGGCACATTCAGATTAGTAGTAATGATTACAGTAGTAAGCATTGAGTACAGTTTTATGATTAAAAAAATACAATAAATACAAAAATAAATCAACAAAATGGTTAGTTTTCCATTAAAATGGGAGATATTGGGTCAAGAACGTGTGTTATAGCGGAATAAAGAAATGTTAATTAACAGATTAAATAGTCAAGGATGTTATACCAAACGAACAAATGATAAGTTATTTCATATTTTTTTTATACACTTTAATTTATACTTGATACCACGGCCCGGTAGAACTCATGCTAGTAAAGAAGGCAGTATATGTCGTATTTATAGTTTTGAAAAAAAAATTATTTTCAATTTGATTGTAATAATTATAAGTTTGATAAAATTTACTAAATGGTTAATGGATAATGTTTTATGCAGAATCTAATAAAACATTTAAAAAGTATAAATAATGTCAAGTTTCACTAAAAACAGATATAAGTCTTTCTGTTTAGTATTTTATATGGATTTTATTTTTTTCTTAAAAAAAGCAATATGTTTCAATTGTTGTTTTATTCGTTGCACGTGTAGAAAGTCTTGACTGATTGCCTTTATATTGGGATAATAAAATCAAATCTAGAAGTAATTATGAAAATGGCATGGTTTTTATAAATAATTTAATATTAATTGACATGCGCATAACAATTAAATATATTATTGTAACCCCGACGTAGATAATTTATCTACAGTTTGATTGCAATAATCTGCTAAACAAAATTCATTAGTTTCTTCAGAAAGTTCGTGCAGTAATTTTTTAAAAAAAAGGACTAAATTAAAATTTTTAATATCTTTGTATAAAAATCCAATTTTTCGATGTTTGGTATATGCTTTCTTTCTTTACTAACAGGACAGCATACGATCTTAGTACCCGAACTAACTTTTTTCTTAAAAAATTGACAATATTTAAGTACAACAAAAGAGTAACGTGAGCCACAGATATTTGACAACCACCAATTCCTCCATCTAAATACTGTAGTATTTTGATTATAGTCCTAGCTATAGCCAATACAACCAATTTAAGATTTTGAGCTAAGGCTAAAAGCATGTAACGTCGTGCTTACATTATATTATTGAATTATACATACCAAAATCAAATCATATTACCTTATTGGTTCAGTAACTAATTAAAAGTAAAAAGGCTTGCTCATTATAGGTATAAAAACTCAATATTACCTTCAGATTTGATGGCATTCTCCAAATTACGCTTTTAATGTAAACATTTAAGAGAAAGAGACTTCTTAAACCTTATAAAAAATATTCAAAACTCAATCAAAGATGATTCAAAATATTTTGAACATTCTGTATTTATAAAAAATTCATCAAAACACGATTTACCTAATTTTACGCGCTTGTATGATATTTCAGCTAATAATTATCAAGATATTGTAAAATCAGTTATCCTCTCGCGGTCTTTAAACAGTCTATTATGGATTCTTTTTTATCTAATTCTAAGCTAGACACTATCTACACCGATATTCAATAAAATAGAACATACATTACTTATACGATAGTTAGAAGCTATTGGTATATTTAAAATCTATTGTATCATGGTTTGAATAATTTTTAAATAATATAATCCAGATTGTTAAATACAAACATTTTCAGTCAAATGATATTTAACGCTTTAACTGCCAAGATAACTAACTGAACTGGGATCGCCGGCACCACCAATGGCAGTTAACGTGTCAAGTAATCCAATGCGTTCCTCAAGGCGACTATTAGTCACCAATTCTTTTCCTCCTGTTAGTAAATTATGTTGTAAATATCTTAAAATATTCTAAAATACTACTCTCAGCAGACGATTACAAATTGTTTATGCGAGTTAATACTGTCTTTGATACTGACAGACTGATACTCTCAAATTTTTCGATTGGTGTAATAATAATTGGATGATTATCAATGTACATTAATGTACAGTCTTATCTTATACTCTTAAAAAAAGCCCATACAACATAAATACCTCATTATTAATTATCTTCTTCACAGACTAGAGAATTTAGATGATTATAGATGTTACTTTTGACACTAACTTTATTTTTAAAACACATAATATACAATATACATAATATAATATACTGTTAGTACAGTGGGGTCAAGGCATAGTGGTGACGTAGCATGGAGGGGTTTGGACAAGGTTGGTATGGGGAGATCACAGGTCTACAGGAATTATTTTTAATAAAATCACTTTCAAATAAATGCTTTGATGCTAATTTGAAAACACTGCACCTCAATTTAATTCTTTCTTACTATGCTGGTTTATACCGTGCTGAATAGAGAATGAGTGTAGTGGAAATGAAATGGTAAGGTGAATGTGTGAAGGTAGTGGAGTGACTAGGGAAGTTAGAATAATAAATGAATACATTAGGAGAGTCTAGGAGTTGCATCAATTGTGGAGAAAATAGACTGAGATGGTTTGTCATGTTATGAAAAGATATAAGGCAGAGGCAGTTAAAAGTTTTATGAAGGTGAATGTATAGGGAAAGAAAGGAAGAGGAAGACCAACGAAAATATGGATGGACAGAATAGAGAGTGATATGAGAATAGCGGGGGTGTTTAAACGAGATGTAGAACACATGGAGTGTAAGGTAAATATAAAAAAGAAGAGCAAATGAAGAGTATCACCGTGTTAAAAGTTGAAACGGTTTTAAAAAAATTATCAACCGATTTCAGTGGTGCCGAATAAAACTTTAATTACAGTTAATTTTATAATTTAACTACGAGTAAATTATCTTGCAAGTGAAATCACGTTATAAGTAATTGTCAAAATTTTAAACTATTAACTAAATAGGTACAGTATACACTATAGTCGCACTATAGTCGTCATATATATATTTAAATAATGAATTTTGTACCGGTAAATCGGCATAGACCAAAATATAATGTATAAGATAAGATGTAAGATTCTTTTATGCAAGACATTAAAAGAAAAGAATCACGTTAGTGTAATTTAAATATGTAGTCATGCTGAAAACACAGAAAACAGCTATGTAAACTAACAAAGGTACACTGCAATATATATTTCAATTTTACTGTTTCGGTCGAAATAAGTCCGTAGGCACTAGATAAGAAAGTCTCATCAATACAGTTAAAAAAGCTAATAATTTTCCTAAAAACTAAATAATCATGGTAAGTACTCTTGTAATCATATAATCAGACTTGAACAAATTCTTCTTCGACTAAAAATGTATTCGAATAAAATGTTTTTCGTAAAATTATTTCGTAATTTTTTTTAATATATATATATATATATATATATAAAAAAAAGTCTACTGATTTTATATATTTTATAAATGTAGAATAAATTAGATGTATACGAATTAATATTGTTAACCATTTTCGAATAATTAAATTTGAAATTATTCGAATAAACTTGAATGTGATTATTATTAGGATAACATTTTATTCAAATAATGCACAGCTCTGCATATAATATAAGCAAATTTTCAAATCCGTTTTTTTTAAAAGACGTAGTTTAGATATAGAATTGTATTAACTTTTTTTGTTTGAAATAGTTAGTACAACAACTATTTATTTAAGAGCGTGGTACAAAAAATTACTCAGTCCTACTCAAAAGTAAAAAAGGATTTTCTCGTTATTTTAATTTTTAAGCGTTTATTAATTTACTTTTATTTGTTTACCAAAACATAGCTTTAAATAATAAATACAAGCTTTTAAAAATTAAAACTAGCTTTAAATTTATTATTTTTTACAGATAAAAATGGTACTATTTTGGTTTTTAGTATCATGTGTCATTGTAAATGTGTCAACAGATGAACTACTAAGTAACTATTTTATTTTCATACTTATATATTAGATTTAGTTAACAATTTACAGAATTTCAGTATTTCCCATTCTTATTTTAATTTGACAAGTACCTACCCAAAGAAGTAAAACAAATTAAAACAATTTAAAATTTCTCTTTTTTTCAGCGGAATATAAAAGATCCGTCTCCATTACAAGTCAGTAAAAATTTAGTTTTATAAAAATAACGTTCTGAAATTTAAAATTTTAATGTTTTGTAAATTATGTATTAAAGTCACCCACATATACTATGCTAATAGATTGAGTGTCATTCGAAATCATGTGACAAGAAGTAAGATTTATTTTAATTTAATTTACTACTACATTTGTTTTTGCCCGTTAATCCTGTCAAAGTGACCGAGGATATTAACTAAGCGGTAAAATGCCGGCCGTAAAATATCGAATTATTAATGGAAAGAAGGGCGTTTGCTAAAGGCGGATTGATCAATTGGTGGATCGTCAAAAATAACCTTACACTAAAAATGATCAAAAACACAGATGGTCACGAATAAAATAAGGAAATAAAACTTATATTAGCGTTTTGCACGTTTGCTTAATCTAAAACGGGCAAGGGGGGGTTCTTACATGCTAAATGGCCACCTCGGCCTAAAAGCAACAGGCATTAGCTTAGTTAAATAATCAAAGATATAATTTCGACTTATCCGTCATTGAGCTGGTACTGAAAACTTCGACTGGAGGCCGTGGGACCGGACCCGTGGTGATCCGTTATAGTTGACTGAATCAGGCACGTACAGAGCTCAGCGACCGTAACAAAGACATAAACATAAAATGCCCGTACCGAACGCACCGGTTCTAGATCGTAAGATGCTTGGGCACCTGGACGCACAGCCGCGCGGTAGTCACGAGGGTGATCGATTTAGCCGTATCTTAGGCACACGAGCATAGGCGGACTTAGGGGTGAGCTAAAGGGGCATTAGCCCCCCCCCCCAATATGTGATTTAGCCCCCCCAAACCCAATTGGCTTTTTTTATTTCAGTAAAATTCTTATTTAATTTTCTATTACCTAAAAATGTATAAAAACCGTATTTTTTTTCAAATGTGCCTTTTTATAATATATAATTCAATTCCTAGGTTTTTTAG